AAAGATTGTCAGAGTTCACCAACGATTGCTTGTCCAAGTAGTGTAGAAATCCCAAATCTACTTAGCCAGGTGATACATGTAGCTCCTAGGTTGTATCACCGTGAGTTGAAGAAGTATAAACAGCAAATACGTTATATGCCAGTGTGTGTGCATGTGTTGCTAGCTAGTCGATCAATAGAATCCACCTGCTATTCGATCAATCAATCCACCGATTTGATCCATCTGAAGGCAAAGCTAGTTAGGTACGTACGCTGTTAGCTGATTCAATCCATCTCAAGGCAAGCCAGGTTCGATATGTGTTCGTTTTGCCATCAACCGAAAGCGCCGGCCAGACGGAATATTGGTTTCACGGGCATGGAGACGACAATAATGAAGGAAAGGATCGAGATCGACACACCTGTGCTAGTGTCCTTGACTGAGGCAATTGGCGTCAAGTCCGAGTTGTTGGCCTTCCATGCATCCTCGTACGCTATCTGCTCCGCTGCATGTGTCTTCAGAACTTAAAGTCGTATAAAAGCGAGGGGCTAGTAAGCCTTTTCCAGGTTCATAACTGCATTGAAGATTTTTTTTAATTCGCAGGAAATAATTATTGATATAGCAATTCTAAGTATACTTTTTTACAATGATTATAAACAATCTGCCATCAGACCCATGTTATATATTTGTGTCAACAGAAAAATGCTAAGAATCATTTATTCTCCACCTTGATCTAAACATCATTCCTCGTCCATTGAAATTGTAATCTGCACGAAATTAATCTCACAAAACAACTCATAAGTCAAAACGCCGAATGAATCGTGGCTGTGTGAAAGGACAAGCAATCTAAATCCAAGTAATTGAAAATAATTGCATAGCTTACCATAAATTCTGCAATGCAAGAGCAACACTTTGCAGGCACAGGTAGGAACATGACGAAAACGAAGGAGAGGATGGAGATAACATCGCGTACTGAAGTCCGGGTTGTGGCCCTTCGTGCCGCACGTGCCCTCACCGCAGCCACGGCCGTCTGCTTGCAACGATGATGACGTGCTGATTCCTCGTAATGGGGCAACCTTGCCTTGGGTGGTTCACGCCCACCAGAGCCAAATCGCGGAGGATGATGGCGACGGCGGGATGAAGTGGTCAAGGTGGAGCTAGACACCCCTACCCATGGCCGTCTCCTTCCTGCAAATGTTAAGATAGTACACTGAATCATTACCTAAACCAGATATCTAGCCGGGCTGCTGTAAGCACGTCTTGCTGGTCGGCGACCATGGTCCCGGCTGATTGATCCAGCAAGTGTAGGCAAGCCATGAGCCTTGGTGAGGTTGCCGACTTCCCAATCTGCCGTGAGGTTGTGGGTGAGAGAACAGAAGGAGCCGTCCGTCCTCGTAGCATTGGCCGAGTCGAGCGAGGAAGGAGGAGGCCGGCGGCTGCATTTTTTCTGGGGAGAGACACAGGACAGGATCGACATCGAGTGGGTTGTCGCATTGGCCGAGTCGAGCGAGGAAGGAGGAGGCCGGTGGCTGCAATTTTTCTGGGGAGACACAGTACTGGATCGACATCGGGTGGGTCCGGGTTTGGGGGCGATGGTGCGTGGGTGGTGGGACGTGCGTAACTGGGTCGTTTTTTCCTTTTCTCCTGCATTTCCGTTTTCACGTAACAGTGCAACTGCGAACGTGGATGGCACAAGGTGGGGCCGTGGCGAGTAGCGATCGCGGAGCAGAGAGGATGGATCGTGCGTGGGAAGAAAGAGGTCGAACCATCACGACCACTGATCCCCCTTTAATAGTAGAGATATGGTCATTAGTACACTACAGTATAGTTTGGTCTAGTTAGGATCATGACAAAGGATCCATGTAATGGTCATTAGTACACTACAGTATAGTTTGGTCACAAAAAAGAAAGGAACAGAGAAAGAAAAGGCCAAGAACTTTCTATTACCTTGTAATTATGTGTGCTGCCTTTGTTACTTGATCCAAAGACTGTATATGAATGCTCACAATTTCAGAACTGCGTGGAAAATAAAGAAAATGAAAGATGTTCAGCATCCGTATCAGTCAACTATTTGCAGCTGATGGCTTGGAAAAAGAAGAGGTGTATAAAGAAAGATGCAAGAAAATGCAAAAGGAAAGGAGATCCGTGGCTATCAGTTTGTAAGCTCATATAACAAACTAAAGTAAATAGATAAACTGGATCCATGGTTAGCCAATATATGTAGCCAGAGATCTGAAAAACCAGTACCTTTGATCTATTGTAGCATCAGTGGCGCTTGCTCGGAGCGCAGAACAGTGTGCTCTGGTTCATAGAAGATATCCATGAAAGAGTTAGAAAGACCTGGAACAACTTGGCTAATACAGGAGTATATAGCATAAAACTACCACATTACAGGCTAGTGCTACAAAAAACTACCTCTTTTTTTAATTTTTCAAAATTCTACAACTATTTTGGTTGGCTGTTCCAAAAAACACTAGTTACCGAATCGTTAAGTTTTGATCAGGTTTATGACAAGGAGGGTCCACGCGTCAGGAGAAAAATCATTTGACCGTTTGTTGACTGTTAAGTATAGTGTGGAGCCCACAAGTCAGGGTCAACCCTCTCCTCCTACCTCCAGCCACCAGAGGAAAGAGACCTCCGCCTCGCTGTCGCCGGCGAACGTCGCCGCCATCCCGAGAGGCGCCTCCTCCGCTCCTCCCCCTGCTCCACGCACGAGTCGCCACCTCCAGCCCCGCTGGCGCAGCAACGGCCAAGAGTGCTGCAGCAGCGGGCGTGCTGCAGGTGCTCGCGGGGCTGCTCGAGGTGGCCGGCTCCGTGCAGCCTCGCCGGTGCACCGTCGCGCGGGGCCTCCTCTGCTTCTGCGACGAGCTGGGGACACAGAGAGGAGCACGCCGACCACACCGCCAGGCGCTGCGGCTTCAAGTCCGTCGGCCACCGCCAGGCCGCACGGAGGCATGCCCGCCCCTTGCATGGAGACGAGGTGCGCGCCGCCCGCTACCTGCCGGAGTCGCCGCCGGTTCTGCCTCCTCTCTCTCCTCGGTATGTGCGCGCGCTCGTGGGTCGTGGCGGTGGCGTGCTCGTGCACTCTGGTGGGGGAGGCTCCGCCTTGCGCAGCCCTACACCTATCCATCTACTAGCAATTTTCGAAAATCTTGAACGGTCAAAAACAAAGTCAAAGGTGATCCGAAGGCCACGGATGCGCCAATCCGGGGGAGCTCCGTGGAGGAGGGTCGGCTAGCATCCTTATAGGTTAGAATAAGATTGACAGGTGCAAATGGGCTCAATCTGAAAGTCGTGTAAAGAGAGCATCCAAAGAAATTAAGCAAACAGCCACGAGAATAAGAAAGAGAGCCACCAAAATCCATAACCTGAATCTTTTACGCAGCGCTCAGAGACGATGAACTATTGGACCATTCTAACCAAAAGTTACTTAAGCAAACTTTGCAACCGAAATGAAGCTGATGTACTGAAACTTTGAACATCTGCACTTCGTCCACAACAGGTTCTCTTGCAACAAATAAGAATTCCAATTATTTAATAGTATGTGATACAAAATAGAAGAGGTAAAAAGACCTATGTTGCAAAATGAGGAAGATTACCACGGTAAGAATCCCAACTAATTAAAATTATACTCCCTCCGTCCCATAATGTAAGATGTTTTTTGACACTACACTAGTGTCAGAAAATGTCTTACATTATGGGACGGAGGGAGTATTAGGGAAGAGGAAGATATATATTCTGCCTGGCTGGGCCAATACCTTGTAATTTCATAGTGCAACAAAATTGTCATAAAGTGATGCCGTAACTAAAAAGGAGTAGCCCATACAATAGCTACTTCGAAAATCTTGAACCATTCATTATCATCCCTGACTAAGCCCCGGGCTTGTGCCATAAAGGACACCATTATAACATCTCACATCCTAAAGCAAGTGCACCTGTGACTACCATGAGTAACATCCGATGGGAAAAAAGCTCACCAGACATACATGGTAGATACAACCAATTCGACCGCCTAATATTTGTTTCCTCCGCCTTCTAGTCCATACTCTGTCAGAACTATCCCAGGTCCACTCCGAAGGGAAATTCAAATATCTTAAACACCTAGCATCCTCATATTCTTGTACTTAGTGTTTTTATAGCGAGTATGTTCAGAGGACCGTAGAGAAAAACAGGTTCATATTAATTGACTGGTTAATTGACTCTCTACAGCCCCTCACAAATTATACACAAACAAGATCGACAAAATCCAGAGCCGACCCTCAAGTAAGCTAGCTAGGTTCTGGGCTTAGTGCTGAAGTGCATAGTACTGTGCTACATGTCATGACCCAAACATGGATATGAGACGGACACTCAGATCCGTACCAATATCGAGTACAAATCAAGAGATACAAGGGGAATTTGGGGTGAGGATCAGCAACAGAGGGATGAGATAGGTAGCAGGAGGGTGAGGAACGGGAGCAGGAGGACGAGAAGATTCAGACGTTTCAATCAGTTCGATCCCCTCCTCATGTGCTCTCCCGACTGCATATGTAGCCCATGTGCCACTCAGCCTCCAATGGTTGGCCCATCTTGTAGCCCAGGCCCAGGTTGCGACTGTAGGGTGACAGCCCATAGTGGGGGTGTTACACTCTCCCTCCCTTGAAATTCGGCTTACCCTCAAGCCGATGATGATCAAGTGGAACTCGTGAATACCTCCAATCCCATCAAGCAAAAGAGTCGGCCCTCCTGGGTCATAGGATAATATCACATGCTTGCAAATGGTCAGCTCGAAGGAACAAAACAGGAGTTCATTGCCAAATGGAGCTGCAACTGAAGAGTGGGACATCTCGTTCTTGTCCATGCACAGGATACCTCTGAAACAACTAGTGTAACTGACAACAAACTGGCAAGTGCAAGCTTTAGCCTCTCCAGTGAACAGATCCCCAGGACAATTGATAGGTAAGAGACGGCAAGAAGACTCAAGCACAAACCCTATGTCGTGCTGCACCCTTTCTTTTGCCTGAGGTTGATGGTTCATCTCATAACTAAGCCCTGCTATGAACATCTGCACATGCTTACAAATGCATGAGAACATTGTGATACAAGGTGTCCACTCATGATTTGCTCTTGTAGCAGATTGAAACCAGCACAGAAAAGGTGAGCACTGGATCCAAGGAGAATAAATCTCAATTCTGTTGGTTTGAACAAATAGAGGGAACTGTAGGGGCAAGTGGCCAACTGAACCATCTGGAGAAAACTCAAATACTGCTATCCCAAACTGTGATCGCATGAACATACCTGGCGCTGAAGCTACATGTCGATCATAATCAGGTTGCCCCGAAGGAGAGATGTGTAATTCTAGAAAGGCTCGAGTAATATTGCCCATAGAAAGCTTCATGTAGTTCTCAACTGATTGCACTTTATATGGATGCCAACCACCTTGTAGAAGAATATCTCCTCCCTCCGATGTTGTGATGTCTGGTCTTACATAAGGAACATATCGATTCTCTGTTATCCACTCTTCAAAAGAGCCAAGGAACCTTGTCCTGAATCTAGAAAATTGGCCATTGTATTGTTGAAGAACACCCTTGATGTATGAGATTCTAGAGCAGGACTGGTAGAGCTTAACAACAGGCTGATTGGCTGATTTCTTATGGAGAGTGTGTGTTAGGCGATCAAGATCAGATATCCTTGTAAGTTGTTGCCTAAGACCCCGACGAAGCTCTGGATTTTCTGTGAAAGCCTGAACCATATCTAATCTGTTATTGACTTCGTTTACATATAGCCATTTGTTAAGTAGTCCTTGTCCCATCCTAGCAGTACACACTCTGTTCATGAAAGCAAACAAACTAAATTTGTTGTTTCCATCAGTTTTTTCTTCAACAATATTCAATGTTCGCACCACGGCAGAAGCAAGGCGCAGGTAGCAGTCCAAATTGTATTTCTCAATCGTGTAATTTCCATAATTAGTATCATCTGCTAGCAACCCATCATATAATACTAGAGCTCCAAGGGCACCCAAAGCATAGTCAAACTGAGATAGGAGGTCACGAACTGGCTCAACAGAACCCTTGATTATTCTACCAAGATCCTGCACAAGATCTCCAGATTTAAATTCAGCCTTCTTTCTTTCAGCCGCAAGAATACTGCAATTTCTACTAGCATCCAAATCTATTGATTTCTCAAAATCTGCTAGAAAAAGACACTCCTTGCAATGTAATGCAACAAGGGCTGATTCCACATTTGTGAATCGACTATCTTCAGGGAACTCAGTCAACCCAAGCTTCTGGTTTGTCATATTCACACAACTAAGCCCTACATATAGCTGGGATATTTGAAGAAATGAACATCTTTCTTTGTAGCAGGGTCGGGGGAAAGAATGGTGACCTCCACAGAAGACAGGAAACAATGCAGTAGTAACCGGGGAATATTGCATGACATTGTTTGCACAACGAATATCTTCGAAACTGCCAATGGTTCCAGGTGTTCCAGATTTTGTTAACCTCCAACTTGACCCACTTTTCTCATAGAGCTCCCGAAGCTTGTCACTCTTTCCAACACTGACAGCGTTTTGCGCCCACGGTGGCTTGTCCCGGCTTCCACTTCCACTGCTCTTGCTCATCCATGGATCTGGCCATGGTTTCAGCTCAGTTGAGTTTGCAATAGTATGTTCCACGAACCGCAACTGCCATGTACTTGGCGGTGCCCGTGGTGGCCATAGTGGCTGCATGACACCACCTTTCCTAATCTGCTCGTCGTCAGTATCCTCACACACCCAAGGCATAGCACAAGGTGAAGTGTTGCAGAGGATGTTGTTGAGCTGTGCGGTGGTCAATGGAGATGCATCTAACACAACCACATGGGTCACCTTGTTGGCGTCATCATGGGAGCATTCTGTCAAACATCTGTTGGGCTTCAATGTCTCCAACTCAAGGGCTGGCAAAGTCTCAGCCCGTGCTGCAACTGCCGAAAACATGCCTCTAGAGGGCGAGAATGATCCTGTAGTTTTGAAGTCGTTGACGGTGGCGCGCGATTCGGGCAATCCGTCGAGCATGTGGTTAGCGTCGGAGCAGCAAGGCTGCTGGTGTCGATGGCGACGACTCCGTGGTCTGCACCACGCACCACATGGGAAGCGAGCTTGGGGGAAACGCCAGTGAGGGTCTCCTTAGGCGTTAAGCCCTGAACTCCATGGCCGATGCAGCCGTCAAGCTCCTCAACAGCCCTAGCCGCATCCTTCACAATATCCTCTTCCTTTATCCGAGCAAGGGACGACGCTCTGGTGATGCTGGACGGCAATTGCGACTGCATGGCTGCTTGAATATCCGCGTGCAAGCCCTTGACGTACTGGTGTACAAAGCACTGGATGCTTATGGTGGAGTTGAGATCCAGCACACGATGTACTTGTTCCCAGAATGCCGTCGTGTACTCGGCCACGGTTGCGGTCTGCTTGAGCTCCAGCAGCAAGCACAAGTGCATGTTATACTCCGACGACACATCCTGGATGTCAAGGAGGCAGGCGTGCTCGTAGACACACCGGCCATGCAAGGCGAGAGCCCGCGCCGCGCCGACTCTTGATCGAAGCTGAACCACTGCCTCCAAATGGTGGATTCTCTGAAACAGGGAGACCTTCACCACACCATACGCGGCAAACACCTGCTGCAGTGTCTCCTCAGTAACCGAGTAGTACACGTGGTGCACGGTGATGCGGAGAACGCCGCCGGTGAACAGCTCTGGTTGGCTGGACATTTCGTCGAACATATGGTAGGCAGGAAGTGGGTGGTGAATTTTTGTTGGCTCTGAATACCAAATTGTCATGACCCAAACATGGATATGGGACGGACACTCAGATCCGAACCAATATCGAGTACAAATCAAGAGATACAAGGGGAATTTGGGGTGAGGATCAGCAACAGAGGGATGAGATAGGTAGCAGGAGGGTGAGGAACGGGAGCAGGAGGACGAGAAGATTCAGACGTTTCAATCAGTTCGATCCCCTCCCGACTGCATATGTAGCCCAGTGCCACTCAGCCTCCAATGGTTGGCCCATCTTGTAGCCCAGGCCCAGGTTGCGACTGTAGGGTGACAGCCCATAGTGGGGGTGTTACAGCTACATCACATTACAGGGAGACGTCCGTTTCAAAAAAAAAACATTACAGGGAGACGATGATACCAGCAGGAGGAAATTGAGTATCCTGAACTGTAACAGAACAGCCCCAAGACCACAAACCGTCGATACATCAAGATCTTTATTTTACCATCTCTAAATAAATCTCTGAACACACAAAAAGCTTGAGATATTTATGTTAGCCTGTCTAAATTACAGATTTATTTGAGTAATAAAAAGAAGAGCACAAAAAGGAAAGAAGACAAGGATAAATATCAGCACATTCACAAGAAGCTAGGAGTAGTATGGATCCACATATAGGTAGGTCTAGCCAACATAAATTCTGATAAACCTACTCATCTCCTCCCAAATATATGTGAAGGCTTCAGGACAAGGCAACATGATTTAAAAGACAGCAGTGCATATCACACACATACATATATGTAAGCTATGATTGCAGCAATACATGATTTTACTGACCTATTCCAGACCTATTCTCGGCTTGGATTTAGACTAATAATTTAGAGAGAATATGACTCTGAGTAGGAATAAGCCATGAGGGGAAAAAACAATGCTGCCTCCAGTCTAGTAAGTAATTCTTAATCCAAATTTACTGATTGGATGAGCTTAATAGATGTAAATCTCAATAAAATACACTGAATAACAGATGACACAGGCACACAGCACAAACAGAACCAAGGGAAACTCGGTTTTTTCTGACAATTAAGGGTAGGTTGTTGTGTAAGAAAACAGACAATCAGATCCTCTTGACTACAGCACAAACATATTCAATTCAATTTGTTAATCAAGGCAAAACCTGCGGGAACCTGAACATTTTTTCAGTTACAGATTATTTAGGTGCATAAGAGATATTAAAACTGCGAATTGTGTAGGGTAATTAGTCTTACGAATCACTCGGGGAAAAAAGTCTTAAGATTACTTGCCAACATTAGAATGATAAAAACCATGCCGGATGGAGAGCTGTGACTATATAGAGGGCAGTGTGTCATGATTTTGGATATGATCATTTGCTCAAGACGCAGCCCCTCAGAAATATCACTTGTGGCTGTCCTACATCATAATTCAGATCACAAGAAAAGACGGACTGAAAAATGTCAGCTTATTGATATTGATATAATTCGTTGAGCAAACAGCAAAGTACATATATACCTACAGTACAAAATCAAGTACTGTCCCTAATCTCAGTCAGGCTAAACTAAAGTCGTATTAACAGAAATTCCAATTTCTTCCATTAATTTTTGCAAAACATAAATCTATTTGGACTGAAAATCATGAAACAGCAGAACTGTTAAAGAACAGAGCCAGGGGACAAAAACAATATGTAAAACAGGGGATTCCATCCAGTGAATATCAAGGGGATACATACCTCTGGTGTAGCCGAGGCACGCGAAATTGGACGGTTGGACGGATGTTCTTGTTCCTCCGGCGAACTGGGCACTTCTTCCTCCGGCGAACTCGGTGGCACATTGGACGTTTCGTCGAAAATTGCAATTTGGACGGGCTTTGATGGAGCTTATGGTCCAAGGAGGCAACAGGTTTGGGCCGAGGACCCCTCCTTCTTATAGCAAGCAACTGAAATCTGGGTCGGCACTCCATTGCTTGGTGTTGGACAAGGATACGGCCTTCAATTGTCCATCCAAATCACGAAACGGGAGCAGTGGGTGGTGGTGGCAGCGGAGCTGATGGCATGCGGCTCGTGCAGCTGCTGGTCGCCTGCGCCGAGGCGGTGGTGTGCCGCGACCGGCCCAGCCGCTGCGCTGCTGCGTGAGCTGCAGGTCGGCGCGCCCGTGCACAGCACGACGTTCCAGCGCGTCGCGTCGTGCTCGTGCAGGACCTGGCGGACCGGCTGGCCCTGTCGCACCCGCCGGCGTTGGGTCCGGTCAGCATGGCGTTCTGCCTCCCGCGGTCGTCGTGCCTCGACGGGGCGCGCGGCGAGGCGCTCGCCGTGGCGTACGAGCTGTGCCCGCCCCTCAATCTCAACTGCTCCGCCGCGCCGCCTCACAATCTCTCCTGCTCCGCCGCGCCGCGCCGCCCCTCAAACTCTCCTGCTCCGCCACGCCGCCCCTGCCCTTCTCCTGCTCCCCCGCGGCACCTCACCTTCTCCTGCTCCCCCGCGGCAAGAAAGGAAGAGGGAGCGTCTGGATAAGACGCAGGGGTTTGTTTGTAAAAAACGAACCGTTTTTACACATGTAGAAGAGGGACTGCGGGTTGTATTACTGAAAACAATAAGGGTGTTTTAGCAAAAGCGCGACGACGGTGAGCACGTGCGCAGATCGCATTATTATTAAAGAAGAAGAAAAAAGATTATTATTACTAGTAAAAGAGCCCATGCGTTGCAACGGGAGAGTAAATAACACATGTTCTTAATCCAATTACCATGACTCAAGACCCTAATGTGTTTATGTTCTTTATTTTCACATGGCATCATATTTGTGTTGTTGATAGTGGTCTCAATGCTCACACAACGAAAGTGTGTTTGAGTGTGGTCAGTTCTAAGGCGTCTATCGCGCACACTCGCTCGAAATAAAATGATAAATATGTTCTTTTTTACCGCGAGGTTTTTCACAGGTGTGTATGCGTGGTTATCGATGTTTTCTTTCCTCTCTATCAGTAAGAAAGAAAAACGGATCGTATATTATAGATTAAGTTCACACCAAGATAACATTTTAGAATATTTGACAGCTAAAAATAGCATCATATTTAAATTCTACACATTTTTATAATCAAGTTTCATACATAACATGTTAAAATCGGAGTTACGGTTTAAAAGATATTGATAATTTTGTTTTAGATAAACTGCGGATTGATTAACCGAAAAGTCAGGGGGTTTATGTTAAAACGAAAAAATGATTCGGTTGACTTATATATGGACGGCGGGCTGATTACCTAAAACATCAGGGGGGGTTTCCGAGAAAATACAAAAAAAACGGTTCAGGAGTGACTTAAACGTGTACCGCGGGTTCAGAGGGTTTCTTTTTTGCATAATGTAAGACGGACGACCAGAAACCCAACTTGCTTTATTATTAGGTAAAGATTAAGGAAAGATACGAGTAAGAATTGATATGCATTTAACCCATTTTTCTGTTGAGTTTCATACATAGCATGTTAAAATTGGAGTTACGGTTTAAAAGATATTGATATTTTTGTTTTAGATAAACTGCGGATTGATTAACCAAAAAGTCAGGGGGTTTATGTTAAAACGAAAAAATGATTCGGTTGACTTACATATGGACGGCAGGCTGATTACCTAAAACATCAAGGGGGTTTCCGAGAAAATACAAAAAAAACGGTTCAGGAGTGACTTAAACGTGTACCGCGGGTTCAGAGGGTTTCTTTTTTGCAAAATGTAAGACGGACGACCAGAAACCCAACTTGCTTTATTATTAGTTAAAGATTAGGGAAGATACGAGTAAGAATTGATATGCATTTAACCCATTTTTCTGTTGAGTTTCAAAATTCCAAACATACAATGCAACCACCCAACGGCGGTGTAGTGGTGTACAAAGCCAAAACGAATTTTTTTCGTAGCTTGTCTCGCTGTGCCCACCAAATCCTACTGGGACGGAGTGGATCGAGGTGGGACGCCCACGGATAGTCCCACCTGCAGCCTGAGACACAGGTGTGTTTTGAACCCACTACCTGCCATTTGTAGTTGTAGTATCGCCTGGACAACCAACAAACCAGTGACAATTTGTGCTTAAACAGACCATGGACGACTATTTCTTATACTCTACTAGCACATATGTCCGTGCGTTGCAACGGAAAAAATTAATGTTTTGTGCAAGCAAAATGTCCCGCAGCACCGGTGTCACCATGAAGAACATGCTGGAGCGCAGCATCCTTCTACAAAATGAACATAAAAAATACATTGCAATTTAGCTGTGTTCATATTTTTTTGCGGGGCATAATCTACCACTGATTCCATTTAA